GCCCGAATTGATTTTGTTTTTCAGTGCAGTTATCTGATCTGTGATGCCAAAATGGCTGAGGGCAGTCAAAAATGTTCGGCTGTGATAGAACATGAAAAACATTCGACATTATTTATCCATTTATGATTGCTGCTGGGTGCTCTGTGCCCGGGTTTTAAGTGTTGTAAATGGCTGCAAAATGCACACACGCGTCATTAGTGTCGACAATTATGAGAGCGCATAAAAACACGTTAGGCAGTGGCAGCGGCGTCTGAGGGGGGAGGGGGCATGATTGGCTGGGCGGGGCAGCAGTACCAGCAGCTGATGTTCAGCGTGTGTGTGTGTGTGGCGCCTGATTTTGGGGCACGCACAGCAAACAAACAAGCAGCAGCAACAACAACAACAACAACAACAACAACAACGGTCAGCGACACCCGAAAGCCCTTTGGTCAACTGTGCGAGTTGTTCGAGTTTTTGCCAGCTCAGCGAACAAACACACAACGTGGCACTTTTTATTTTTCGCCACTTGCCACTTGCCACTTGCCACGCTTGCCACTTGCCACTCGACAACAAAGTGCTGGCGTTATGAAAACGAAAAGCGAATGTCCTCGCACCAGAAAAAAACAACAAAAATAGAAAAAAAAAAAAACACAAACAAACGCAACACAAAAACAAAAAACTGACAGTGATTTTGTAATTAGAGCGCACAGCTGAAGCAGGGTGAGGAGGCGGAGTAGAGCAGAGGCACGCTGTAAATGCGCCGAGTTCAGCATTTGACACGCACAGCAAATATATCCAGCTGTAAGTGTGTGCCCCAGTGTGTGCGTGTGTGTGTGCAGTTTAACACCCAGCTGGATTTGACTGAAGCGTACCAAATTAAGTAGTTTGTGCTTTGTGCATTGCTCACTGAAGTGAAGTTTATGGCTAGTCGGGTTATGTATGACGAAAGCAGTGCTAATGGAAGTGAAGATTTCAGTGGTAGTTGAAGAAGAGATAATACAATAATAAAAGAGTAAATTTCAGTGCAATTAAATTTATATTCTCCATTTTATAAATAATATAATAATATAAAAAATAAATGAGGAGTGAATCTATCTCCATCTTAATTTTTATACTCAATGCCAAACGACCTTTTTCTTGCGCATAGTAGGAAAACGAAGCTAAAGGCGTTGCTACCTTAGCTCTCTGTATACAGTAGAAATCCGATAGTTCGAAAGGGCAAGGGAATCAGAGTTTTTTTTGATTTACACAGAAATTGAAATCGAGAATCGAGAATTATTGAGAATGAATTTCTTTCAAGGGGATAGAATTTTTTTTGGATTTATCGCGATTTTCGATTTAGCGGGGTACGAATTATCGAGGGTCGACTATATATTCTTTCTTCTTATATATACTCACCTATATACTATGATCAATATCTTCTAAAAAGCCTATATAAATGATATATGATCTATGTATATATTCAAAGTAGATCTTGGCCAGTTGAAGCACTAGATAAAATTTTTAACTGACTTATATATGCCAAAAATACTATAAGAAAATCGAATATCATCATAAAATATCAGCTAATTAACGTCTTTATGTATGCCATAAGTAATTCTGACATTCGTAAAAAGTTCAGCACATTCCCGTTTTCCTCAATGCCAGACTTGGCTGTGTGGTAAAGACATCACCAAGTTCTCTGTTTACGTATTCCAAAGATCACTTGGAGCGGCTCTTCAAGATTTCAGCGTGTTCCACGTTTTACCCATGCCAAAGGTACATCTTATATAACTGAAAATTTCAGCTAGTTTGGTTCACTTTATAAGACTCTCGCTTCTATCTGTCCCAGATTTGTTCATATCGTCAAAATTGTCAGCTTGGCTGTCAAATTGACATTTCTATCTGTTAGAGCATGCCAAAAGCAATGAAAAGGGCAAGAAAGCTTTCAGTAGCTGTGCAGTTTGAGTGCTCCATAAAAAATGGACGCGAGCCAAACGAGGTTTTTTGTGCTGCTGTAACGGCAAAATAATGTTTTTTTTTGTTTTCTTTATATTCTTTTAACCACGATGTAGCAGCAGTAGTTTTTTTTCATCATCCTTCCTTTCTCTTGCCGCGCTGCTACTGTGTGGTACGTGCCGCGGCATGGACATCACGCATACGCCGCATAAGCCAAGACAAGCCAATCAAGTGAGCCAACAGCAACGGCAGCAATGGCAACGCCAACTGACAGCCCCAAACGAGTGCATGCAACAACAAAGTGTTGCAAGTGTTGCCTGCTTCATACTTACTTGTCGTAGCTCTGTTGTGAGACGGAGTAAAACCCATTGAGAGATAATAATAATAAAGAGAGCTTTGTCAGTTTTGTTGATGATTCAAAAGGAACATTTATTTAATTTGCTTTTTGTTTTTGTTTTTGTTGTTGTTCATTTAGTTTGTTGTTGCTTTTGTTGTTTTTCTTTTGGGCAAAAATTGAATTTCTGCATTTGCTTTTTGCTAGCTTAAATTGCCAACCACCCACAGAGTTTGAGTTTTCCGGAAAACCCAAAAAACTGTCGCACGAATGAAACTACATTAAGTGTGTGTGTGTGTGTGTGTGTGTGTTTGTGCATGTGTGTTGGGTGGGCAGGGTGTGTGTATGTGTGTGTGTGTGTGCGAGTGTGTGGGTTAGTTTAGCAAATATTTATCCAATACACATACATAGTATACTAGGGTACACACACATATATCTTAAGTTAGACAGAGACAGTGAGTACATCTATATAAAAATTGGGCAGTGTTAAAGAGTGAGAGATGTTCGGAATCTGAATGTTGATAATATATAGGTTTTTTTTTTGCTTTGCTGTGACATGTGTGCGTGTGTGAGTGTGAGTGTTGTTTTCTTAAAAATACATAGAGAAAACCTAGTTGATGCATATGTATTAGTCATCGTATCCTTTTGCAAAAGTTTTCGATTTTTCGGTATTTGAAGACGAACACATAAAAAAACAACAAACAAATATCCCTCAGGGATATTGTTGGCTATTTGTTTTTGCTTTGCTTTTGAGTTGTTCAATTTGATGACAAAATATGCATACATAGCTGGTACATACATACATACATACATACATAGAGACATTCAGAAGTTAGAGTATTTTATATAAATATATTTATATATGAAACACATTCAGTTAGTTAAGAGTTCTTAGTGAGTGAGTGCTGTGTGTGTGTGTAGTGTGTAGTGTGTGTGTGTAGGTGTGTTTGTGAATTATCTTTAACTATTTAAAACTGTTTTACACTTAGTTTGGGGTATTTTTTGGTTTTCTTCTGTTTGCCATCTGCCTAGCAGCTTCACTTAGTCTATATATACTACATAGAGTTGAGAGATCAGAATCAGAGAATTATTAGCTAGTTTCTGGTTTTCATTATTCGTTTCTCAAGTTAGTTTTTGTTTTTTTTTTTTTTTTAGTGAGTATCTAGTAGTAGTAGTAGTATTAGTAACATTCATATTTTGGATACCTTCGAGTGCAAAGTAAAATTCAGTTTGTTCGATTAGTGTGCTTAGAAAGAAAACATATCGATGTATATATATTTATATATATAGTAGAGTGATATAGCTTACATAGTTTGATGAAAAAGCAGTTGCTGGTATTTTCAAAGAAAAACGTTTGCTTATACAGTATTTTTGATACTTTTTCGGTATTTCTTTTATTTTACAATATATTGTGTAGTTTTTCTTTCGTCTATTTGGTTTTATTGCACATTTTAACAATTACAACAACATTTAATTAATATTTCGTATCTCGTATTTCGTGCTGTGTATTCTATGAATTCATTTCTTGTTGTTGTTGTTATTGTTGTTGCTTGGATTTCAAGTTGTTGTTTACTGTTTGCATGACTTGCGAGCAACTTTGAGTTGCTCTTAACTTTTAACAGAAATGCAAATAATAACATAAATAGAAACAGAAACTGGAAACAACGTAACGGAACTTCAACTAAAACTAAAGCAGAAACAACAACAATAATATCTTAAGCTAAGCTAGAAACAGGACGAGCAGTTGCAACAAAAATAAAGCATAATCAAGAGCAGTAAAATCATAGAAGATACCCTGTAAAAACGGTGTAGACTTAGCTAAGTACAGCTAAGTAAGCTTAGTGAGTGACGTGAGTTCAAGGAGCAAAAGTCGTCAGTCTTCCTTAAAGAAGTATAAGAGCTTTGTGCGGATGAAGAGCCTTGAAAGTTCTACTGCTTGTCGAGCTTAAGTCTCGATGTCAGCCTTAAGTCTAAGAAGCTTTCAAAGCGCATGAATGCTCAAATGTACTTTAATGTCATCCAAAAGCTTGACGAGCCAAGTTTCTTATATGTACTTTCTGTTTAACGAGCTTTTAAGTTGTTTAAAAGCTCTCTTAGTGCATAATTTTCATGTGTGCAGTATACTTCTTCATTGATCATGGTTTGAAGAGAGCTTTCGGCTTAGACAGCTCTGAAAGCACATTAAAAATTGGCCTGGCATGTTCCAGATTTCTCTTTAATTAGCATACACTGCATTTATAGTTGAAGTGCGATTGAGATATTCCCTTGCAGCCGCACAAGCGTCTAATAAAACTTCAGGCAGACTGAGTTAGCTGAATTAGTAGTCAGTTTTATAACTGAATTAGTGTGAAGCTGTGTGTGTGTTTGTGTGCTTGAATTATGCATGTGTGTGTTTGTGTGTGCGTGAGTGCATTTCATGAGATTTAATTTTGGGTTTGCTCCGCTTTGTCTCTAATGGAATTTCGTTGATAACTTTTCTAACTTTGACAATTGATTTGAATTTGCATTGCTACGTTTAACAATTGAAAGCGATTTACATTGTCTACCTTTTCACCTGATTCTGATTCTGATTCTGATACCGATTCTGATTCCGTTTCTGTTACTAATTTGAACTTCAGCTGCTTCAGTGCCTCATATTGACTCGCAATCAGTCGAGATTTTTCTTATTTCTCTTATAAATATCCATATGTGATAATCATATATAATATAATAATATTTAAATGCTCGTTTGGTAAATAAATAAATAAATATATTTCGTTTTTTTTTTTTTTATAACAATTGAGGACAACATTTGAGAACAAAAGGTTCCGTATTTTGTTGTCGCACATTCAAATCTATTCACTGCTCTTTCTCTCTCTCTCTCTCTCTCTCCCATGTTCCTGCTTAATTTAGCTTTCTTCTCTTGTCAAATACACATTCAATAAAATATGCATTCTCATTCGCATTCAAGTATCTCTTTTATTCGTGCTCGAGGTGAATATCGATAAACGTATATCTATATATACAAATACGTATATATTTCTTGTAAGCCTGTGTACTTGTCTGTATTCAATTTCTAGCTACTTTATGCTCAACTGTACTTGAACACTTGCATTCCAGCAAATGTATTCGCTTCAATTATCAGGAAATCCTATTTTGAAATGCGATTGCCTTTCTCTTAAGGGAGAAAACGTTTCTGGGAACACATCTCGAATGCAATTTTGTCTTTTGTGCCTTCAAGTGGAGTTGGCTGCAATTGTTATTGACTTAATTGGTTTGTTGTGCCACTTAAACGCCTTAACATTTACTTATATAATAAATTGCTATATACTATATTCACATACATACATACATTCATATACATATACATTCATAGAGAATTTGGTAACAGGTAATTCACATTCAATTCTCACATTTAAAATGTAAAAGTTTTCAATTAATTTATCTCACGTAAATCGTCTCTCTCTCTCTATATCTTTCTCTTTCATTCTCCATCTCCCTCATTCAATTGAATACTTAGCCTGCAGTGCTTATCAGTTAGTCAGTTCATCATCATCGTCATTCCCATCATCATCGTGCTGCTTAGATATACATGCCCAGATCGACGTGAAAGTCCTGCAGATAGGACAACAGCTGCGAGGGCGTTGGACGCTGTTTGGGCTCACAGTGCCAGCAGCAGTTCATTACCGTAAAGCTGCATTTGTGGTTGAGAGGGTGGGTGTGTTTGGGGTTTGGATAAAGGGTTGCATAATTGGCCAATCAAACAGGCTAAAAGGCTACTCACAATTCATCCGGGCAATTGACGGGCTGCTCCAGACGATAGCCGGCAGCCAAATAATTAGTAAGCTCAAATATGTCCACCTCCTCGTGCGGCATCTGGGCCAGTGTGACCAGCTCCCAGTACAGAACGCCCAGAGACCAGACGTCGCCCTGTGTGGTATAGATCTTCTTCTGCAGCGACTCCAGCGACAGCCACTTGAGCGGACGATTCTCATTGTCGCCGAGGCAGTCGTAGTCATCCGGGAAGAGATCGCGCGAGAGTGCGCTATCGCAGATCTTAACGTATGACTCCTCATCGACGCTGTGTGGGGATGTGCGCAAGGCAGTTAATATGGATACTCTGCCCCTCCCCTTCCCACTACTTACTAGCAATTGCGTGTGGCCAGATCCTTGTGCACGATTCCCAGTGAATGCAAGTAGGCCAAGGCCTTGGTAATGTGCAAGCCAAACTCGACCAGCTGGCGAGTGCTGAGCGCTGTGCTAGACTCCCTCGACTTTTGCAAGTAGCTGCAAGGCACGTGGAAAATAGAAGCAATCATAAGACAAAGGAATTTCGAAGGGCAGCTTACATCTTCAGGTTGCCCTTGGACGGATAGGGGTAGGCGATCTCGGGTGGGCCGGGCAGCTCGGTGTTGGCCAGCAGGGGCGCTAGTATATGCTGATGACTGACGCCAATTAGCAGCGAGGCATCCTGCAGCAGGCAGGCCACCTGCGTCAGTGAGGCGCCGTCGATGACAGTCTTTACCAGGGCATCGCACGTTTCGCCCAGCTTGCCAGCATAGATGCGCCCAAAGGTGCCCTCCTTAATCAGCTGTTCGTAGCTCAAGGCGCCGGGCTGCACGCTGGGTATGCGGCGCAGACGCTCCTTGGTCTTATCGCCGTGGCCGTGACTAGCTACTGTGATGGTGCTGCCGGTAATGCCGGCAATGCCACCAAAGAGGCTGCCGCTGCCGTTGCCCCGACTGCTCTTTGGCGTGGACATGCTGCAGGGCTGTAAATGGGAGAATGAAAGAGAGAAGGAGGATGAGATAAGAAATACTTAAAGGAAGGAATTATGGGCTCATGGCTTAAATATTGCCAAGGAATGCCTGTGAAACAAAGTATAGAAGATTTGAAGAGAGGGTGCTGGTGGTGTATGGTATGTTTTCTTATAAGGAATTAGTCTGCGATTTACAGAAAAGGTTTAATGGGTGATACCCAAATAGCAAAGAGAGAGAGAGAGAGAGAGAAAGATTTCTTTAAAGGGACTTATACGAGGAAACTTATAGAAAGCTTCACAGCAACCGTCTGGTAGAGTAGAGTAGAGTCTGTGATTCCCTGGATGAGTTAGCAAATCACTTCTTAAAGCGAATTTCTATGTGATTCCCAGGAGGTTTATCGAAATGATTTATAGAAAGTTCTAATAAAACCCTCTATTAAAGCGAGATGAGAACGAACGATTCCCCTTTGCTTGCCTTAATTATATTATAATCTTAGATAAAATTTACAAGCGAAACCTTTTCACCTGCTTTATGCCCTAATGCCTTAACCCATGTGGTGCAGGTGCTCAGAGTGTTTTCTATTATCATATAAAACGAAACTCTTTTGGGGGGCCAATTGATGAACTTGGGGCAGCACAGGATGGGGGCTCACAGTTGAATATTACACATGGCGGGGACTCAATGGAAACGCAATTTCATCAACCGGATTTGCATCTTTCAGTTTGCATCCGTTTACCGTTAGTCATGCACTTGGCTGCGCTTCGTTCATTCATTTTAATGAATTGAGTTCCGTTTCCGCTTGAAGGAACTGCTGATGTTGCCAACTGGCTGGCAGTTGGCGTTGCCAACGCCATCAAACGCCTGCTGCCTGCTGCCTGCGCCATAATTTGTGTGTGGCCCTCGGGGAGGAGTGGCAAAGCGTGGGCTGCCCGTAGTGGGTAGACGGGCCAAAGGGAGGGGATGGGCAGGAGAGGGGAAGACTAGCTCTGTATCCGCCAGGACAAGCCGTAGTTGTCTTACGGCATGAATAATTTATTGGTTGGCAAAAAGCTTTAATTCGTCGAGCATTATGTTTGCATAGCCTTGTGCCAGGAGCCACTAGGGGCCAGGGGGCCAGAGGAGCAGGCCCGAAGTGTAGCAGAAGCCAAGCCCTAGACCAACACGAACAACAACACGGCATGAAGGCATGAAGGGCGCAGCTGTAGGAAATTGCGAGATGAGTTGTATAAACAACGTTTTTCCCGGTCGGAAACGAGGGGATAGGGAGCACGACGGGCACTCAAGATGTATAAAGAAGATAGCGCGACAACACAGCAGCAGCAGCAGCAGCAGCAGCAGGAGCAGCAGGAGTAGGAGCAGGAGCAGCTCCTTAGCCATTGCCAGCAGCTCATTTATTTTCATAAAATTCACACAGCGAAAATCATTTACCCGCCCGTTGAGCTGCATGGGAACCTAGGAGTCTAGGCGGCTAGGGGATAGGGGCTAGGGGCGGCTGCTCTAATAAACTCCAAGAAAAATCTCTTCATTTCTTTCTTAATTTGGTGTGGAAAATTTACATAAATGTTACAGCTACAGCTGGCTATAGCGGCCGAGCCACCTGAGACAACTGTCCAATAATTTTCGTTTATTAAAAGTAACAGCTTTATTTGGAGCACCAGCGTTACATGGGGTCCGCTCCATGGCAGTGGCAAAGGGAGTTGGACAAGCGACGGGCAAGAGCAACTTTGACAGCAATAAAAACAATAGTTGTTCGCCCATTGTTAGTGAATTTCATTCATTATTGCCTTTATTGCCTTTTCTGGCTGCCCCTAGCTGTCTGCTCTTCCGGCTGTCTGTCCGTCCGTCTGTCTGTCTGTCTACTGGTCTGTGTTGTGTTGTCCTTTATTTTATTTGTTCCTGCTCGTTGTTGCTGTCGCACAAAGAAAATTCAATTAAAACGCAACAGTATCGCACTCCATCATCAAAGCTCCAACTCTAGCTACTGCGAGTGTGACTGCTGCTGCTGGTGCTGCTGCTCCTGCTCCTGCTGCATGTCCTGTCCGCTGGTTCAAGCTCATCAACGCGCTCGCTTGTCCCCTCGTCAGCGGCTGCTCGTGAATGCGACGCTGGCGATAAATCCTTGTCGCCCAGCTGGTCCAACGACATGCAAAGCGCTACACACACAATGCGACTGAGAGAGAAGGGCAGGTAGAGAGAGGGAGAGAGAGGGAGGGAGGAGGAGCTGTGTACTACAGCGACAAGCAACAATGTCACCGACAGGCACAACAAAAGTGTCTGCGGGCTGCACCGGCGTCGCTTTTATGACCCTAACTAAGACAGAGGGAGAGGCTGGAACTTCCTTTGCTTGTTCGGCTTGTAGAAACAAGCTAAAATTCCATATATATACACATAGATGTATATATGTATCTCTATATATATGTGTGTGTCTACATATATCAATTTGCGTGTTTTTATTGCCTTTTGTTGTTCTTAGCATTAGCTGGGCGAAGAAGTTGCCCTCCCTAATGAGCAGAGTTCAAGTGTAATTAGATTTTATGTAAGCAGCTTACACACACACACTCGCAGTAGCTGTTGGATAATGCAGCAAAGTTTGTGTGAATTGAATCAATGCAGAAAATGAAAGTGGCACGAAAAGCGTGCTAAATTTAATTATAAAAGTAATGCGAGAAAGGTTTTTAAATGCTTTTCTATGAAATTTGCTAGTGAAGATGAAAAGGAATTCTAGGAATGCCGTCGGAAAAAACTAATAGAGCAGAGCTGTTCTATGAATAAGAAGAGAGCAGAGCTGTTCTATGAATAGGAAGAGAGCAGAGCTGCTCTATGAATAGGAAGGGAAAATTAAAAGAAGTAAAGTGATGTACTACAGAAGTATTAGGTTGGTCGGAAATTGATTTTTAGGCTTCTTCATTTACTTTAATCTATGCGAGACTGAACTATACTTGAAACTCTCTAACGATACCGTTGGATAGACGAGCAGTCAACAATTAGGTTAGCACTTTTTATGAGGTGCTGAAATGCCTCCAGGTGGCTTGATTCGATGTAGTCAACCTATATAGTATTTATAACTGAAAAGATTGCGCGGCTCTATTCTTCTTCTTCTATTAAAATATGAAAATAACCATAATTTTTCTATGTAAAATTGTATTCTGAATAGTTATATGATAAGGGAAAATCATATTCAGAGTAGTAAATGAATTGCAAATGAATGGTATCTAAGACTCGACTAGACTCAAGATGGAACTACGTGGCTATCTAATCTCCTACATTCCATCACAAATCAATCAAAGAGCTTGACTTCCAGGATACTAGTGCATACTCATACCTTCTGTCCAAGCTTTATGTGCTTTGAAGCACAAGCCGAATCAGCATATTCAAATATTGCAATTGGAATCCTTTGACCTTTTCTTCATTAAATGCGAGCCAATAACCGAGAGTTGCTCTGGCAATGGTTCACTCTGGTTTACTTTGGTAAAAGCACATTTAAGCTGAATCACATTCCCTTTGTTTTCGATCAAATAACCAGCTGATGCCAATTCGTATGTCAATCGAGCACTTTCGACTGCATGCATGTGTGTCAGCAGATGAGGAAGAAGAAGAATCAGGGGGAATTAAGCCAACCAGAGCAACAGCAACAGCTGCCGCAGCAGCACCTGCAAAAGCCCACAAATAGTCAGCTCCAATGACTGGAAAAAGCTAAGCTATTTTTGTGAGAAATATTAAAAGTGCACGTCAAATAGACAATATTGCCATGGCTCTTACTGCTGCAGTTGTTGCTGTTGTTGTTGTTGCTGTTGTCTCTTATTGCTTAAACTGAAAATTGGAAAACATCCGTTTGCTGTCAACTGTCTGACTAGTCGCAGTTCTCTCATCTCGCTTTGCATTGACACTCAGATGAGGCGAGATGAGCTCAGGGCTATATAGCAGAGTGAGCTAGGGGTTGGGTTAGCTTTTTGGGAGGGGGAGGGGCAGCGCAACTGCTGGTTAGTATAAATTTGCACAAATTTAAACTGGATGAGGCTCGGGTGTCAGAGCAACAACGGCTGGGTGGGTGAAGGGGCTGGGCGTTATTGTTGCCAACAGAGGCGACACTTGGCAACACATAACCAAATAACAGCAGTGGCAGCAGCAGCAGGAGCAGCAGCAGCAGCAACAGCAGCAGGAGCAACAGCAGGAGCAGCAGCAGCAGCAACAGCAGGAGCAGGAGCAGCAGCAGCAATAGCAACAACAATGTGACTCAAAGCGTTGGCCATGTTGACGTTTGGTTTGCAGCTGTTTGGCTTTGTTGTGACATTTCTAATGACAACACAACACGGCAGGCAGCGGAGGGGTGGCTTGGTTTGTCAGGGGGTTGTCAGGGGGTTGGCTATGCAGCGTAGCTGCTGGTCTGCAAATGACATGTACACCACACTAACACACACAGACCAAGACACACAAAGACTCACACACACACACACACACGCATTAGCAGACATATACAAATTTCGGCTCACACACTTGACAGGCGTCTGATTTGTTTATGTCACTTGCAGCTCTATGGCTGCCCACGCACACACACACACACACACACACACACACACACACACACACACACACACACACACACACACACACACTTCCTGCCTCTGCACAACCACAACGTTGAGTGGCGCTCCCTCGCAACTGGCTCGTAATTAAAAACGCTTGATGACAATTTTGCCAACATTTCGTGTTGCTTTTGCAGCGTGTTTGGGCTGCAACCAAAATGCAGCTGAAACTTTCAGCCAGCAATAGCAACAGCTACAGCAACAGCAACAACAACAAACAATGGCGACAGCAGTGACAAGCACAGTGACACGAGAGTGCGTAAAAAAAGAAAAGAAACTAAAGCAAGGAATATTTAATTGCTGTTGATTTGATTTGAAATAGTTGGTTTATGCAGCATATTGTATTTGGTATATTTTGGGTATTTTTTGTATACTACACATATTTAATTGCGTTAGAGTATATTCAGTAATTCAGTAAAAGCTGT